GGGGGGGAGAGTGGGGACATGTGAGAGGTCCCGGGTGTGCGGTCAGACGTACGGGGGAGGGAGTGATTGGTGGATTGAGTGAGTACTTGGCGTGACCACGTAGGGGAGAAGGGGAGCGGTGATGAGTGGAAAGGAGGAGGCAGCCTGCTGCTGGTTTTTGTCGCGGATACGCGAGGTGCGGGAAGAGCTCGAGGGGGAGGGGAGGGGTAGACTGCAGGGGGCACAAGAGGCGGAGGAGTCATGGCAATGCATGGGAACATTTTTTGGTTGTGGGATTCGAGGCAGAGAGGAGGGTTGGGGTGAGTTTAAGAGAGTTATGTATGCGAGTCTCGTATGTGAGAAATCGAGACAACAGGAGGGGGTTGGGTGGGTGCATTGGACAGCCGCGTGACGTAGATCCTTTGGCGGTTGTCTAGGCTATGTAAGGGAGAAGGAAGAGGGTGATGGCTGAAAAGGAGGAAGGCAAGAAAGTAAAAGCATCAGGAGGTAAAAGCAAGAAAAGCAAGCGGAAAACCCGCAGTAGGGAACATCCCATCTATAAAGCTGATGCTTAAGAAAAGCAAGCTAAATGCGAATAAGGTGAAGCTGATGTTTACGTAATGCTGAGAGCTCGCAGCTTCACCTAGGCAGCATCTTCACAGATGCGGGAGTTTTACTTAACTGTCAGCTTCATAAATACGGAAGTTTTAAGCAGGCGAGAAACCCGTTATTAGCAGAGGATTTCCCTATTATGGGGTTGTTGCTTAAGTAAAGCTGAAGAGTCGAATAGCTGATGCTTAGGTAAAGCTGAAGGCTTTGAGCTTTACCTAAGAATCAGCTTTATAAATAGCTTCATTAGTAGGCTTGTACCCTTGCTTTATCCTGTTCCCAGCCCATGCCCTTTGAGCTGTATTGAGCACTTGCCAATCAACACTCCTCCCCCCGTTCCTACGAACGCGATCCTACAGCGGAATGCCGGATACCGCTACCCGGTGCGCCTGGCGAAGTGCCAAGCGACACCGAATGCCTCGCCGCGAAACAGCGTTAGCGATGACGTTGGAGAGTAACGGCCGAGGCGAGCCGGAGTAAGCGGATTGAGCTGACCTTTAGTAATTACCTTTTTATAAGGACGGCAACTGTAGAACAGGGAGGAAGGGAGTGTGGCGGCAATTCCCGGACACAATGCGCGCCCCTATATGCAAGCGGCAGCTGGTTGTTTTGTGTCTTCCGAATATTGTGTCAGTAGTATTTTGAATGACTCGTTATGCGTTTTTGCATATGTGCAAATACGAAAGCGCATATTGTGACGACCCCGGTATGTGTATATATGTGTGTATGCGCGTCTGTCCGGGTATTTCAACTCGGCACCCAGGCAAGCTCCGGCGCCAAAATTTTACGGGCAAATTTCCCAGTCAAGTGGCACTCCAGGACCGCGGTACCAACTTTCACGCAAGTCTGGGTCCCGCGTACGAAAGGGTGAAAGTTCTGGCGGGAAAATCGCTAACTCAGGAACTAGGAAAGCTAGAAAGCTGAAATTTCGAGGTTATGTCCCCCGTCCGTATGTAACTCAAAGATTTCAAATTCAGTCCCTAGGTGTGCTTGGCACCGCGTTTGACCCCGTGAGGGTTCCTGGCGAAAATCGCTAACTTGGGAACTGGGAAACCTGGGATGCTGAAATTTTCAGGAAATGTTCCTAGCTCATGTACAGCAAAAATTTATCAGACTCAGTCTTCAGGCTTTCGTGTTTTCCTCGTGCGGCCCGTAAAATTTTTTGACGGAAAAATAGTTAACTCAGGAAATAGGAAAGCTGGGTGGCTGAAATTTTCAGGGAATGTTCCCACCACATGTGCAAATTAAAGTCATCGAGCTCAAACCCCAGGCATGCGTGGTTATTACGCGGCCCCGCAAAATTTTTCGGCAGAAACATTGCTAACTCTAGAACCAGAGATGTTGGAAAGCTGAAATCATAGAGGAATGTTTCCTGTCCAAGTATCGCGGAGACAATTAACTTCCCTAACTTCGAGGATCTGTATTTCATAAATCCTAGCTACTAGGTTACCGGGCGATCTCATTAGAGCACGAAATACTGCAAAAACGCACGTTCGCACGGGCCCGCTGAGTGCGCGCCGCCAATGATTTTGTATTTTGAACGCTGATTTTCATGTGGATCTTAACTTTTGGCAGTTAGTTGTTTTATTGTAATAAAAGAAAATTAATTTCCATCCTCGCTCAGCAGTCCTTAAACCGGCAGTGCAAACTGCGAGTTGATTTTACACTATTTTTGCATATCACACGAGGCTTACAAAAGCGTGCATCGTTGACAGTGGTACTAAATGAGGACTTCAATGGAGGACGTCTCAGACATATTTTCATCGTCGGTGAGAACCTCGTCGTGGAAGCTGATTTTTGCTTCGTCAACATCATCCGATGAATCTTCCTCCAGCAGTTCTGTAAACTTTTATTTCAAAGTTATATTCGGAATTCGGAAAGTGCTAGCGAGGTAGTCGACATAACTTGCCACTGTATTCTTTTTTTGCCTTTCATAGCTATCTAAAGCGCTTTACGATTCTTGATAATAACGAGATTCTTCAAGAAATTCCGCAAAAGTAGGGCCTGAGACGTTCGTTGTCTCAGACCAGCTATCAGATGGCGGTTGAACTGAGTAGTTTTTCAACAGATTGGAGAGCAGAAGAGCGACAAATGATTCTAAAATTCTGTTCGATGCGATTTTCGTAAACAGGGTTTGTGCGACAAATCTGTTTACAAAAATCGCACCAAACAGAATTTCTGGAAAATTAGAATGAGGAAAAATTTCAAACGCTCAGGGAAGCTGTGATTTTGGAACAAGCCATTTTTGGAATATCGACTGATAACCTTTTTTGATTGATGATATGTGGCAATCATCCTTGCTGATTTTCCCAGTTTTGAAGGCGTTAATAAAGTCTACCTCATCGACCAGTACTTCGTCCCAGTTAGTTCCACCAGGAGGCGGCGAAACAGAAGCTGGCATCAAGCATTCTCCACGGGAGTCCGGATGCACTAAATCTACGAAAATCATTGCAAGGGTGGAGCAGTGCAATGATCAAGAGATAAAAATAAGTAAGCAAAAAGAATTTTCCAAGCACTGCAAGAAAAGCTCCGTCAGAATTAACTGTGAATGCAAGTTCTGCAAAATAAAACTATATTTATATTTATATACATCGTTTTACTTTGCATATGTGTATGTCGTTCTATTTTTGAAAATTTTCTCTCACAGTCAATTCTTACGGGGCGGACTATAAATGGGATTCCCGACCTTAAATCCACTGATATTTATGTTTTTTTGCTTCTACACAATGCAAAAAACAGACACTGTGTATATGCATATATAGGTATATACACAGTTCGCTTTGCGAGGCAAATAAAAAATCATTGGCGACGTGCACAGAGCGGGCCCGTGCGATCATGCGTTTTTGCAGTGCTTCGTGCTGTAATCATTCGAAATTCCGCTAGCTAGAAACCTCTTGTACATACTGGCCCTCAAATTTTCGGAGATTATTTACCCGCGCTGTACTTGAACAGGGAACATTCCCTTGAAATCCCAGGTTCCCGGCTTTCGCAGTTCCCGAGTTACCCAAATTCCAGCCAAAAA